CCTCTTCTGACCTCCGTGGGCATTGCATGACATGGGTGCACTTACCTACATGAAGGCAATACATGCATACACATAAAATAAAAATAATAAATAAAATAAAAAATAGATAAAATATTTTTTTTAAAGCAGGTAAGAGATGGGAAATAATGTAAAGACAAAGTTGACCTGACCAAAAGCAAAGGTTAAAGGTGAGGGAGCACAGAGCTGGATAGGTAAAGAACAGACATGGGATTGAGACTTTATTTATATAAAATACATAAATATGGGCTGGGCATGGTGGCGCATGCCTTTAGTCCCAGCACTCGGGAGGCAGAGGCAGGCAAACCTCTGTGAGTTCAAGGCCAGCCTGGTCTACATAGTGAGTTCCAGGACAGCTAGGGCTACAGGGAGACCCTGTCTCAAAAAGACCAAAAAAAAAAAAAACCATAAATATGCAAAATCTTATGTTACATATAAATACTTTTATCAACCACCATTATTATATGTTATCTTTTGCAGATACTCATACATATTATTTGGGGGGAGGATTTTTGGATTTTTTTTTGGTTTTGGTTTGTTTTTTAGTTTTGTTGCTTTTTTTTTTTTTTTTAGCAGAGTAATCAGGTTTGTTAAGGGAAAGTGAGAAAAACTCTCAGGAGTGGGAGGGGTACAATGGAAGACTATCCAATTTTTTTATTGTTTAATATTTTACTTATGGGGGCTGGAGAGATGGCTCAGCAGTTAAGAACACTAACTGTTCTTGCAGAAGACCCAGGTTCGAATCCCAGCACCCACATGGCAGCTAACAACTGTCCATAACTCCAGTTCCAGAGGATCCGACAGCCTCTTCTGTCCTCCGAGGGCATTGCTAGACATGGGTGCACTTACCTACATGCATACACACAAAATAAAAATAAAATATTTTAAAAAAACAACTTCCAATATTTTTCCTTTTTTCACATTGCCTTTCTAAAATGTCAGGAATGGAAAATAGACACATTATCACAAGACAACTTCTTTTTTAAAACTACCCCCTCTGAACACTGCAAAAAAAACACAGTGAGCCAGGCGTGGTGGTACATGCCTTTAATCCCAGCTCTTGGGAGGCAGAGGCAGGTGGATAAGTTCAAAGCCAGCCTGGTCTATATAGTGAGTTCCAGGCCAGCTGGGGCTACAGGGAGACCCTGTTTCTAAAAGACCAAAAAAATAATAATAATAATAAATAAAATAAAATAACACAGTGAGACCACACTGAAGTCATCTCCATTTGAGACTTGGAAAAAAATGTAATGTCTATTTTTGGTCCAAAGCACTCACCATCACCCACACAATACAATGTAATCATTAGGCTTCATCTAACAGAAAGTAATAAAAGCCCCTACCATAGATTTCAAATCCCAATACAACATTCATTTTTCAGAACCAAAGAATGAATTTATGGGCTGGAAAGATGGCTTAGTAGGTAAAGGTACTTGCCACCAAGCCTGAAGATCTAAAGTCAATTTCCAGGTAAAAGGGGAGAACCCATTCCTGTAAGTTGTCCTCTGCCTACACACACACACACACACACACACACACACACACACACACACACACTCACACACACCAATAAAAATATTTTTAAAATATTCATTTATAAGCGCCTTAACATAAAGGGAAAAAAACAAAAGCAGTCAACTTATTACTCTAAATAAGTCAGAGAACAAGCACATGTAAATATGTAATTTTCTTTTGACAATTAACTCATACTGTATAATTAGTATATTGTTGGAGATCCTGGGATAGCAGATTTTAAGCCACCCAGCATATACATGTTTTAAAAGGAATTAAGACCCATCATATGCTAATCACAAAGTATCAATGTTTGAGAAACCACCCTAAACATCTGTATAAAAGAGTAACACTGTATAGCATTGAAGTCACCCAGATATCTGAGAATCTCACTGTTAATTCACAAACACATATCTGAACAATTGAACACTACTTTCTAACAAGTGCCAAGGAAACTTCAATGCAACCCCCCAAGTCCCTCCTTGGTGAGCAGACCACAGGACCAATAGTACCTAATTTCTCCCCTGCTCCATATCCTGCTATAATACTGGGAAATTATGACATCCATACTGATGACATGTTCAGCATACCTTGATGTTGTCACACTAGTTCAATAACCTACACAGTTCCATTTCTCTTCAATAGCACTGAGGCCATTACATTTACACCTTTTTTGTTGTTTTTGTCTTTGCCTTGAAAGAACTCTGAATTTTCCAATTATGTATTTCTTACAAAATCTGGTCTTCAATCACATTTCTGATTATTTCCTTATTCTCCAAGTATACTAGCCTTCCTGCAGATTTTACTTTCTTTTTCTAATATTTTATTATTATTTGGTCTTTTTTGAGACAGGGTCTCCCAGTAGCCCCAGCTGGCCTGGAACTCACTATGTAGACAGGCTGGCCTTGAACTCACAGAGATCCGCCTGCCTCTGCCTCCCGAGTGCTGGGATTAAAGGCATGCGCCACCACGCCGGGCTTATTATTTTTATGTGTATGTGTGTATTGCCTGCATGTAGGTAGGTGCACCCATGTTGTGCAATGCCTGTGAGGACAGAAGAGGCTGTTGGATCCCTTGAAACTGGAGTTATGGACAGTTGTTAGCTGCCATGTGGGTGCTGGGATTCCAACCTGGGTCTTCTGTAAGAACAACCAATGTTTTTAACCGCTGATCCATCTCTCCAGCCCCAGATTTTACTTCTTTTAACCTCCAGTTTAGACCCTAGAGTCCACCAGAGATCCCACACTACCAGTATAAAGTGGTTCCCCATTTTATCTGTATCACAAATTGCAATTCTGGATCTGCTCAATCTTTTTTTTTTTGTTTGTTTGTTTTGTTTTTGCCCTCCTGATCATAGATAGGCTGTTGGAAAAAAAATGTAAAATCCATGCTACTGGTCACCATTACAAATACATTACTACTAAATAGGCCCTTAATGTAATGCTCAAATCAGAAAACTCACCAGTTCCTTCAACGTCCAGAAAAACCTGATTTATCCACAGATACTTGATCACACTAAAAATAAGGCCAGTGGGATATGATCACAGAATCCTAGCACTTGGGAGGCAGAGGCAAGAACATTAGGCCTTCAAGGACAGTCTCACAAATATAGTGAATTCTGTAGCCCCAGCTGTCTTGGAATTCACTATGCAGACTAGGCTGGCCTACAGAGATCCACCTGCCTCTAGCCTCACAAATGCTGGGATTAAAGTGGGATTAAAGGCATGTGCTACCATGACCAGTTCAGTTTTTTGTTTTTTTTAAGACCAGCACTAGGGAGGCAGAGGCAGGCGGATCTCTGTGAATTATAGGCCAGCCTGGTCTCCATAAATGAGTTCCAGGTCGGTTGGGGCTTCAGGTAGACCCTTGTGTCAAAAAGACAAAAAAAAAAAAAAAAAAAAAAAAAAAAACACAACAAAACAAAAAGCCAACAAAACCCTCTCCCCTCTCAGCCCGATTTTGAAAACTTCTTGGAATTGCATGACCAGCATTCATTTTCCTACAACTATCCCAGTTCGTTCTTTGCCACCCATATGAGCACGCCAGTTTCTTGTCTACCTAGGCCTTTTGTCTCCAGTCTTCCAATCCTTCTAGATTGTCACCAGACAATCCAATGATGTCAAGCTCCTGTTTACAAACCTTCAATGGCTCCTTGTGCCTACAGAATAAAGTCCAAATTCTTTTTTTAAAGAATATTTTATTTTATGTGTATGTGTGTATTTCTTGCGTGTAGGTAAGTACACCCGTCTAGTACAATGCCTGTGGAGAACAGAAGAGGCTGTTGGATACCCTGGAACTGGAATAAACAGACAGCTGTTAATGGACAGTTTCTGGCATGTGGGTGCTGGGATTCGAACCCAGGTCTTCTGCAAGAATAACCAGTGTTCTTAACCTCTTAGCCATCTTTCCAGC